CTTAAATATTTAATTAGTTTATTAATCATGTCGAACTTCGATTAACCACCATTCCGATACTATAATAATTATCTTAACAGCAATAAATAACTAGATAAATAAATAAATAAGTGAATAAATAACTAAATAAATAATCACTTCTCCTAGAGATTCCATCAAATACTATAATACACTTCCAATTAGCAAATAACAGAACTATGCACAATTTAGCAATCTACGTATATACATATCTATGCTCATTCCATAATAGAGTGCATGGTAATTTTATCAAGGAAAGTACTGCCATTACAAACCGATGAACACTCACATAAGTATAAATTTTCTATAAGGTACCATAAAACAATCCTCTAATCCAAGTATGACCTGAATAACTCAATTTTTGGTCAATACTCACTTATATGGTCGTTCTAACACTTTTCGAAGGATAAAACTACCTCAGAAGACTCACGGTCAACCGAGGGGTCAGACTGCCTAAGCTTGGTTAACCGAGGCCGTGGGGCCCATGATCTTCGATCACAATCCGGGAGTGCCTATAGGTTCAACACACTCTACTAAACCTACCCTGTAGGTTTGGTTTGAATAGGACGGTCGGATTGATCACGATCGCACGATCGGGTGGTTACGGTTTATTTAGCCCAAGGGTTAGCGATTTCGGAGTATCTGGGTTTCCGATTCACGATCCGTCAAATACTATACGATCCTAGAAATACAAGGTACAACATAGATGAATTTGAGTTCGATCCAATGGTCTGAACATATCAAACCCGGAAAATCGTACGATAGGCAAAATCCATTCGAGACTCAAACGATATCCAAATTGGAATCCAAAAACTTCTACGTGCTCATGACAACTAGGGGATCGCATCGAGACATAATTCCCCTCTGCTACAGTACCCACGCGCTAGTAGTGCATGGGTGTCCTAAGTGATACCGTTCGCCAGAAAACTTCAAACTCAAGGGCCAAGATTTCTACACAGGTTCAAGACATCGATTGGAGCCACTTTTGTTCTTGGACCTGCCCCGAAAAATAACTTGAAGTGGCTGGAATTTCAACCCGAAATCCAGCCAAACTTTGGGTTACAAATCGAGTTACCTACGCTAGAATTTGATCATATCCTACCTAACCATCAGCTAGAGCATGAAAAATAGATGAGAAGCCATACCTCACACGTCGAGATTGGTGGCCGGAGGATGGAGAATGAACGCCGAAAAATTCTGTAAAAAATCAGTGCATCTTCACGGTGATTTCCAGCGGGTTTGGCAGTTGTTGGTGTCGAGGTGTGGTGGCTAGGCTGTTAGGTGGTGGTGGTGGTTTAGCCGGTATCGGCTTTGTGGCCAATGGTGGTGGGTTAAGAGGATGGAGGGCACGGCTGAAGGAAAAAATTCTAAGGGGGAGGGTTTCTGCACGATCCGAGAGAGAGAGAGAGAGAGAGAGAGAGAGAGAGAGAGAGATAATTTTAGAAAAAATATGATTCCTAAAAATTACGGTTTTGCCCCTCCATGAATTTTGATCGTATCTTCCTACGTGTCTACGGACTCGTTTCGACGTGATCAATCGAAATTTCCAAATTCCTTCCGGGTCAAAAAGTCAACTTTTATACCTAATAAAATATTTCAAGGGCAAAATAGTCTTTTACCATAATAAATTAGAAATTAAATATTAATTAAAGTTCGGGTTGTTACATTAAATGCACATTTTCATGACCATTTTGTCCAAATTAACAATTTAAAACTACAATATCTAGTAGTAAATGCATCCTTTTTGAAAATTGAACAAAGTTTATTTTACTTTCCTACACAAAGGAACACATGAAAAATGAATCTTGAGCCTTCCACTCCCAACAAATCCTTTCTGTGAACTAAAGAGGACCTTAATTTAGATAAAGAAAGATTTTCTAATGGGCTTTTATTAGTATAAGTATTTTTCTTTTTTGTTGAATATTATTCAACAACATTTCATCTTCTATTTATGAAAATAAGTAGACACTCGTCACTGGAATAGTTGATAAAAAATACTATCTCCAAAACCCACATACAAATTTACATTGCAATGACCAATGTATTGATCTAAAAAATCTTCAAATCAAGAAATTTGAAAGAAATAATTGAGAGGAAAGATTGAAAAAACATAGTAAACATTATCTTACATGGCATAGAATATTGTAATTTAGTGTATAATACTAGAATAAATATTATGTTACATGACAACGTTTTTAAATAGGGGTTGTCGAATATAGGTCCCTAGAATTTCTATTTCCTAGACATATACCCATCATTCTATAAATCTATGTGTAAAACCCAATTTCAAACTTAGATGACCAGTAGGATATAAGAGGTCGTAGTATTCTTATGTTTTTACATCCTTGCCATCAGACTTCATATTTTATATGTAATTTATTCCAAGCATTTCATTAACTGCCATAATTGCAATTAAAACTCCCTATTAATAGCATATCAATCATCCCTTTTCTTTTGGTTGCCATTCCCTCTAACATATGGCCCCTTAAAATGCAAATAAAAAAAATATGTAAATTACATATCCAATAATGTACATATGAAAAATATAAATATAAATATAACGTATAAAAATATGGGTATATTATTTACCAAAAAAAATTAACAAAAATAGGTCAATTACTTTGTAATTGAAATTTCCGTACATTTTTCATAAATTAAAAATAGGTACACAATAATTTATAAAAAAAATAGGTACATTGTATAATTGAAATTTATGCACATTTTTTTATAAATTAAAAATAGGTACATTATTTAGAAGAAAAAAAATAAGTTCATTATATTAGGTAAATTGTTTTACTACGTATACATTATTAGAGAAAAAAAAAAGGTGCATTATTTAGAGAAAAAAGTAGGTTAATTATACTAGGTAAATAGTTTTACTAGGCACATTATTGGAGAAACGTAAAATAGGTGCATTATTTTGAGAGAAAAAAAAGGTACATTATTTTGAGAGAAAAAAAAGGTACATTATTTAGAGAAAAAAAAAGGGAAATGACCTCCAATACCACCCATTTGCTAATTTTAACTAAAAATATCATTCCTTCTTAATTTTTGTACAACTACAACCTATAAATATAAAATTATTGTCCACTTATTGTACCCATATCAGTTTTTCAGAAATTGCTCTCTCTCTTTAACTCCCTCTATCTCTTCAACCGTCTTTCTCCCTCGTGTACCTCTCTCTCTTCGACGACAATCATCTTTCTCCCTCAACAGTGGCTGTCTGCGTTCTCTCTTCCTCTCTCAGCGTTTTATCTCTCCACCGTCGCTCCATGACCACCACCACTCTGTTTCTCCCACTCTCGCGAAATCTATCCCTGTGTCAATTTCTCAACAAAAAAACTCAATCTTAATCCCCTATCTAGGGTTATCTGGTCTTACAAGTCCAACCCAGAAAAATAAAAGGTTAGCCACTCCCTCATCCATCCAAGCTTAACTCCATAGTTCACATCCACGAGGTACTGTTCACGTTCCTTTTTTTAGAAATTTGTCTCTGTTTGAAAGCATGGTTTTATCTATTTTTTTTATTTTCGGGATTGTTATCTAATTTCTTTATACACCATCTGCTGCTCGAAACATCATAATGCAGATGAAGCATCTCAGGGAAACTCTTTACTCAGTTCTTCTTTTCCAAGTTTGTGTTTCATTTAGTAATTGCAACAATTGGGTGTGCCAATTGTCAACAAATTTATTTAAAGCAATGTTGACTTGCTTGATCTCCGATTTTATTCAATTCTGTACTCTATTTTGGTGTAATCTTTGATGTAGGATATATCCTTTTTCGACAGAGAAGCAGTTGGTGATTTGACAAGCAGACTTGGGGCAGATTGTCAACGATTATCTCTTGTTATTGCGAATGATATTAGTTTGATCTTACGCAATGTTCTTCAGGTTGTGGTTCTTACCCTTCCCCTCCCCCAAATGTGCATTTGATTTTTTTAATAGTCTAGTCTAAGTTACAGTTTTTCTATATTCAGGGGATAGGTGCACTGATCAATTTGCTGATATTATCTTGGCCTCTCGCATTATCAACATTGTTTATCTGCTGTGTGTTATCTATGATTTTTCTTGTTTATGGGTAGTAAGCTTCTTTACCTTCTTTCTACTTTATATCTGATTTGGATTTTTCGAAGCTTGAGGTTATTTATACCGCAAAGTTCTGCTATAACAATAAATGAAGAAGTGATATATTTGATTATTTTATATTTTATAACAATATATAGGTACCAAAAGAAAGCTGCAAAGTTAGTCCAAGACTTCACTG